CTGATGTGACACACTGAGAAGAGTTTAATGTCATTTCTGTGATCTTCTTGCCAAAACTGCACGGTCTAAATCTAACCATAAAGAAACATCAGGTAAACCCAAATTGAAAGATATTCTACAGGCCGGGTGTGGCAATCCCAGCACTTTGGGAGGCTAAAGCAGGAGGATAGCATGAAACCAGGAGTTCAAGACCAGCCTCGGCAATATAGCAAGATGCTATCTCTACAAAAAAAAAAAAAAGAAAAGAAAAGAAATAGCCAGGAGTGGTGGTGTACACCTATAGTTCCAGCTACTCAGGGGCTGAGGTGAAAGAATTGCTTGAGCCCTAAAGGTAGAGGCTGCAGTGAGCCATGATCATGCCACTGCACTCGCATTCGCACTCCAGCTTGGACGATGGAGGAAGACTTTGTCTATTAAAAAAAAAAAAGTGGACCGGGCGCGGTGGCTCACGCCTGTAATCCCAGCACTTTGGGAGGCCGAGGCGGGCGGATCACAAGGTCAGGAGATCGAAACCATGGTGAAACCCCGTCTCTACTAAAAATAGAAAAAATTAGCCGGGCGCAGTGGCGGGCGCCTGTAGTCCCAACTACTCGGGAGGCTGAGGCAGGAGAATGGCGTGAACCCGGGAGGCGGAGCTTGCAGTGAGCCGAGATCACACCACTGCACTCCAGCCTGGGCGACAAGAGCGAGACTCCGTCTCAAAAAAAAAAAAAAAAAAAGTGGCCAGGACCAGGTGCGGTGGCTCACACCTGTAATCCCACTACTTTGGGAGGCCAAGTCGGGTGGATCACCTGAAGTCAGGAGTTCGAGATCAGCCTGGCCAACATGGTGAAACCCCATCTCTACTAAAAATACAAAAATCAGCCAGGTGTGGTGGCAGGTACGTGTAATCCCAGCTACTTGGGAGGCTGAGGCAGGAGAATCACTTGAACCGGGGAGGCAGAGGTTGCAGTGAGCCGAGGTTGCGCCATTGCACTCCAGCCTGGGGGTCAAGAGTGAGACTTCGTCTCAAAAAAAAAAAAAAAAAGCGGCCAGGCGCAGTGGGAGGCCAAGGCAGGTGGATCACGAGGTCAGGAGTTCAAGACCAGCCTGGCCAATATGGTGAAACCTCGTCTCTGCCAAAAATACAAAAATTACCTGGGCATGATGGTGTGTGTCTATAGTCCCAGCTGCTCAGGAGGCTGAGGCAGGAGAATCACTGGAACCCAAGAGGCGGAGGCTGTGGTGAGCCTAGATCGTGCCATTATACTCCAGCCTGGGTGACAGAGACTCTGTCTCAAAAAATAAGAGAGAGAAAGAAAGAAAAAAAAAAAAAGAAAAAAGATATTTTCCAAAATAACTGGCCAGTACTCTTCAAAAGGGTCAAAGTCCTGAAAGATGAAAAGGATTAAAGAATTCTCACAGATGGAAGGAGACTAATGAAACAAGACAATTCAATGCAGGACCTTGGATTGGATCCTGAAACAGTAAAGAAAATTTAACAAAATATGAAAAAAGTCTCTAATTTAATTAAAAGTCTTCCTATCAGCATAAATTTCCTGGTTTTCATCATTGTACTATGGGCACCTGAAAAGTATTTGCAAATTCCTTATACTATCTTCACAATATGAAAATAAAATTTTAGGCAGGGCATGGTGGCTCACACCTGTAATCCCAGCACTTTGAGGGGACGAGGCGGTTGGATCACCTGAGGTCAGGAGTTCGAGATCAGCATGACCAACATGGTGAAACCCTGTCTCTACTAAAAATACAAAATTAGCTGGCCGCGGTGGCACAAGACTGTAATCCCAACTACTTGGGAGGCTGAGGCAGGAGAATTGCTTGAACCTGGGAGGCGGAGGTTGCAGTGAGCTGAAATTGTGCCATTGCACTCCAGCCTGGGCAGCAAGAGGGAAACTCTGTCTCAAAAAAAGGAAGGAAGGAAGGGAGGGAGGGAGGAATATTTTTAAAAAATTAAAAAGGGGAAAGCGGACACAAAAAAGAGGATATACACTGGGGCTGGGCACGGTGGCTCATGCCTGTAATCCCAGCACTATGGGAGGCCAAGGTGGGCGGATCACAAGGTCAGGAGATCAAGACCATCTTGGCTAACACAGTGAAACTCCATCTCTACTAAAAATATAAAAAATTAGCTGGGCGTGGTGGTGGGCACCTGTAGTCCTAGTTACTCGGGAGCCTCAGGCAGGAGAATGGCGTGAACCCGGGAGGCGGAGCTTGCAGCGAGCCAAGATCATGCCACTGCACTCCAGTCTGGGTGACAAAGTGAGACTCCATCTCAAAAAAAAAAAAAAAAAAAGAGGATATACAAATGCCCAGTAAAAATACAAAAAGGTGCTGAACATCATTTCACATCAAGGAAATACAAATTAAAACTATGATGAGGCTGGATGCAGTGGCTCACACCTATAATACCAGGACTTTCGGAGGCTGAGGTGGGCAGGAGTTTCACATGGTAAAACTCTGTCTCTACTAAAGATACAAAAATTAGCTGGGCGTGGTGGTGTGCACCTGTAATCCCAGCTACTCAGGAGGCTGAGGCAGGAGAATCACTTGAACCTGGGAGGCGGAGTTTGCAGTGAGCTGAGATCCCACCACTGCACTTCAGCCTGGGCAACAGAGCAAGACTCTGTCTCAAAAAACAAAACAAAACAAAAACCTATGATGAAACTGTACCACACAACAAATAAAATAGTTAAAAGACTAACTACCAAATTACGGAGAGGATATGAAGCAACTGGAACTCTTAAACATTGCTGGATGGAGTGTAAACTGGAACACCCCCATGAGAGCGTGGTAGCATCTATTAAACATTAGCCTACTCTATGAGCTAGCAATGCCACGCCTAAGTATCAACCCAGGAGAAAAGCCTTCATGTGTTCACCAAAAACAGCGTAGAGTGTTCACAGCTGCAGCATCATTTGTAACAGCCCCAAACTGGAAACTACCCAAATAGTCATTAACAATGTAATCGACTAATATACTACAATATATCCCCAATGTAATGAGAACTATGTACAATTATGCTGAACAACATGAATGAATTTCACAAACATAATATATAACAAAAGAAGCCTGGCATAAAACAGTACATGCTGTATGACTACATATATACAGGAAGTTCAAGAATGTGTAAGACAGCCAGATGCACTGGCTCATGCCTATAATCCCAGCACTTTGGGAGGCCAAGGCGGGCGGATCACCTGAGGTCAGGACCAGCCTGGCCGATATGGAGAAACCCTGTCTCTACCAAAAATACAAAAATTAGCCGGGCATGATGGTTGGGTGCCTGTAATCCCAGCTACTCAGGAGGCTGAGGCAGGAGAATCGCTTGAACCCAGGAGGTGGAGGTTGCAGTGAGCCAAGATCACGTCACTGCACTCCAGCCTGGACGGCAAGAGCAAGACTCTGCTCAAAAAAAAAAAAAAAAAAAAAAAAGAATGGATAAAACTAGTTAATGATGATAGAATTCTCAATAGATTGTTTGGGGGAGAAATTACTGAGAAGAGGCATGAGGGAACCATCTCAGGTCCTGGCAAAATTCTTTGTATAGATCTAGGAGTGTTACACAGCTGTACACTTAAGATTTGTACACTTTACATAGACTCTATCTATGTATCTATTGACAGCCTCCTGCTCTGTTGCCCAGGCTGAAGAGCAGTGGTGTGATCACTGCTTACTGCAGCTGCAAAGTACTGGGCTCAAGCGATCCTCTCATCTCAACCTCCTGAGTAGCTAGGACTTATAGGTGCCAGCCACCATGCCCCGCTAACTTTTTATGTATGTATGTATGTATGGTAGAGTTAGGGTCTCACGATGTTGCCCCGGCTGGTCTCCAACTCCTGGCCTCAAGCGATCCTCTTGCCTTGGCCTGGCAAAGTGCTGGGACTACACGCATGAGCCCCCACACCTGGCTTACAAAATTTTTTTTAACTCTTGGAACTATGCTTTGGTAGTGATAAGGAGCAATAAGATATTTCAAACACTGCTGTTCAACTACAAATTTGTGCAGCCACTCTGGTATATATTTTGACACTGTTTAGTAAAGTGGAAGATATACGAACCAGCAATTCTGCTGGTAAATAAGCATGTGTACCCCATGTGAAAGAATGTTTGTGGCTGTGTTGTTTATAAAATAAAAAACTATAAATAACTAATATGGGCATCATTACTAGAAAGGATGAATAATTGTGGTATACTTCAAAAGCGAGAATACAATATAGCAAAGAAATTGAATTAACCGCTATTTTATCTCATAGAAATGATTCACAGAATTGTAAAAATAAACCAAAGACAGTATGACAACATTAATATAAAGTTTTAAAATGGGGACAAACTGGAGTATAATGCCTAGAGAAGTATACTTAAGTGATAAAACCTCACACTGATAAGTCTATCCAGTCACACAAACCTGATCATATCCCCACCATGGGGACATTCAGCTACAGACAATCCACGCCCAAAGCAACAGGGTCGCACACGGAGGGCCTCCATCGGTCACATAAGCACAAGTGCACACTTACCGAAGAGACATTCACAGTCACAACCACATTGTCACAACCACATTGTCGGCGCACACCTGTACCTGGTCACAGTCACGATCACACATTAACCACAGCCACACACACAGATAGAAACATGCAGTTACTCGCAGGTATCCCCACCTGAACTCTGCCGCACAGTCACACAGCACACAGTCGCACACCACTACGGGGACAAACGCGGTAACACTCAACCAGACACCAGCTCCCCACAGCCGCACACACAATGCCGCACGTGGTCCTGCTCCCTCTCACACACACCAGCAGCCACAGTCTCCGAGGCCGTGCTGCACACGGTGTGAGCGTTGGAAACACACTCATCACAAGAGCAGCCTGTCACAATCGCGCGATCATTCACCACACACCTCCACACAGACGCAAGCGCACACTTTCAACCTCACCTCCACCGCCGCAGAAAGCCGAGGCCCGGCCCCCGGCCCCGCCCTCTCCCGGGTTCCTCACCTCCGGCCTTACGAGCTTCCGAAGCAGCAGAACCCTCCCCAGCACTGGGGTAGTTGCTGGTAAAGTCCTCAGGGTCCCGCCAGCGCGTGACTTGGATGCTGAATTCCCGCGAGAAATACAGTCTTGCCGAGGAGTCCTCTGGGAAACGTAGTCAGAGACGTATCAAGGCCGGAGAAGATGGCTCCCGATTGTCAGAATTGCTGTCCGCGCCTAGCGTCAGCCCAGCCGAAAGGATCGTTCCCCTCATCAAACCGCTCGCGCCCCAGAGGCCTCACGGAGCCCTGGCTCAGGCTCGAGCCTTGGCCCCCAAAGAAAGCCACTCCGACGTGTTTGAGATGGGCTTAGTCCCGGACCCGTCCTACTGCCCCCAGGCGCTGGACAGCCTCAGAAAGAGGACAAGTCCACACGGAAAGATAATCGCACAGCTGAGCCTTCTGGGAGATGTAGTTCGGAGCTGGGAAGGCGGTTGGACCCTCCGAAAGTCATCTTAATTGCTCTCACAGATAAACCGGCGCTGCGCTGTAGGCCTGAGTGCTGTGCGCCCAGAGTGCGCAGGCGCAAACACGCGGGGTGGCTGTTTTGGCCTTTTAGTGCTCCTTAGTGCAGAGGGGTTATGGGACCAGAGGTTGTGAGACTCAAAACTAATTGGAGAGGCAGAAGGGGTGTAGACCAGGAACCTGCGACGTGATGGGGGAGGTCGAAGGAAAGGAATCGCCAAACGTGGGACAGGTTTGGAGAAGCAGAGAGAGAGGAGTGTGAAATTGCAAAGGGCGGGTGTTATTCTGAGTTCTGTGTGCTTTGTGATAAATGAGTGCAACAGAAAGTAAGAGGAGTTTCACTTTCTCCTTCTGCAATTATTTGTGTACTTGGACTAAGTATATCTTATGGCCAATATTTGACTGCTTTTGACCTATAAAGATATTGCACAGTAATGCATAGCTTAATAATAAGGATATATTTTGGCCGGGCGCGGTGGTTCACGCCTGTAATCCCAGCACTTTGGGAGACTGAGGGGTTCGAGACCAGCCTGGGCAACATAGCATAAACCCCATCTATATTAACAATGCAAAAATTGGCCAGGCGTGGTGGTGCGCACCCTGTAGTCCCAGCTACTCTGGAGGCTGAGGCAGGAGAATCACTTGAACCCAGGAGGCGGAGGTTGCAGTGAGCCGAGATTGCGCCACAACACTCCAGCCTGGGCGACAGAGTGAGACTCGGTCTCAAAAAAAAAAAAAAAAGAAAAAAAAATACATTCTGAGAAATACATTGTTGGGCAATTTCATCATTGTGTAATAATTTCATCATTATAGAGTGTACTTACACAAACCTAGACAGTGTAGCTGACTGAATACTTAGGCTATATGGTATAACCTGTTGCTCCTAGACTACAAAGCTATACAGCATGTTACTCTACTGAATACGGTACTTGTACTGAATACAGTTGGAACGCTTTAGGGACCAGCCCCACAGGGTCTGTGGGTTTTTCTCCCCGTGTGCGGAGATGAGAGATCATAGATATAAAGACAAAAGACAAAGAGATGAAAAGACAGCTGGGCCCGGGGGACCACTACCAGCAAGAGGCAGAGACCAGTAGTGGCCCGGAATGCTAGGCTGCGCTGTTATTTATTGGATACAAGACAAGGGGGCGGGGTAAGGAGTGTGAGTCATCTCCAATGATAGGTAAGGTCACATGTCCACTGGACAGGGGGCCCTTCCCTGTTTGGAAGCTGAGGCGGAGAGAGAGTGAAGACAGCTTGCACCATTATTTCTGCATATCAGAGACTTTCAGTACTTTCACTAATTTTGCTACTGCTATCTAGAAGGCAGAGCCAGGTGTACAGGATGGAACATGGAAGCCGACCAGGAGTGTGACCACTGAAGCACAGCATCACAGGAAGACGGTTAGGCCTCCGGAAAACTGTGGGCAGGCCTGACTAATGTCAGGCCCTCCGCAAGACGGGGTGGAGTAGAGTCTTCTCTAAACTCCCCCAGGGAAAGGGAGACTCCCTTTGCTGGTCTGCTAAGTAGCGGGTGCTTTTCCTTGGCACTGACGCTACCGCTAGACCACGGTCTGCTTGGTAACAGGCATCTTTCCAGATGCTGGCATTACCGCTAGACCAAGGAACCCTCTGGTGGCCCTATCCGGGCATAACAGAAGGCTCACATTCTTGTGTCTGGTCACTTCTCACCATGTCCCTTCAGCTCCTATCTCTCTATGGCCTGATTTTTTTCTAGGTTATGATTGTGGAGTGAGGATTATTATAATATTTGAATAAAGAGTAATTACTACAAACTAATGATTAGTGATATATATAATCATATCTGTGATCTATATCTAGTATAACTCTTGTTATTTTATATATTATACTGGAACAGCTCGTGCCCTCAGTCTCTTGCCTCAGCACCTGGGTGGCTTGCGCCCACAGAACACAATGGTAAGTATTTATGTATCTAAACATATCTAAACACACAAAAGCTACAGTAAAAAAAACAGCATACAAAGTAAAAAATGGTATACCTGTATAGGGGTACTTACCATGAATGGAGGCTGCAGGACTGGAAATTGCTCTGGAGAGTCGGTGAGAGGTGAGTGAATGTGAAGGCTGGGACATTACGGTACACCACTCTAGACTTTATAAACACTGTACACTTAGGCTACATTAATTTAAAGTTTTTCTTCCATAATAACCCTTCCTTGCTGTAACTGTTTTACTTTATAAACGTTCAAAATTTTAAAAACTTTTTGACTCTTCTGTAATATCACTTAGCTTAAAACACAAACACATTGCACAGCCCATGTGGGATCCGTATCTCTTGGTAAGGAAATGTTCCAGGTCAGATGTCATTCTTGTGTGGCCACGTAGAGATAGAAAGACTGCATATATGATACCGCCTTTCCCAACCACGGGTTCATATTCTAACATATCACAATAATGCCCAATATTTATGGGGTCATAGAAAATAGGATTCACTATGGTTGGAGAATTTCTAGAGCCAACTTAAGTTCAGGAATGCTGGCAATGAGAATGGTGAGTGGGAATCTAACGTAATGATTTACATAGTTGAAACTATTAACTGGACCAGGCACGGTGGCTCACGCCTGTAATCCCAGCACTTTGTGAGGCTGAGGTGGGTGGATCACCTGAGGTCAGGAGTTTGAGACCAGCCTGGGCAACATGGTGAAACCCCGTCTCTACTAAAAATACAAAAATTAGCCAGGTGTGGTGGCGGGCATCTGTGATACCAGCTACTCAGGAGGCCGAGACAGGAGAACTGCTTGAACTTGGGAGGTGGAGGTTGCAGTCCGCCAAGATCATGCCACTGCATTCAAGCCTGGGCAACAGAGCAAAGACTCCATCTCAAAACAAAAATTAAAATAAAATAAAACATATTTCTGATAGCCATTATTTTTCTGTTTGGGGCAATTTTAAAGTTTTTCTTTTGTCACAAAAACAGGAGTGTACCTATGGAAAGGCTCGAAATAGACCATCTTTTTTTTTTTTTTTTTTTGAGTTGGAATTTTGCTCTTGTTGCCCAGGCAGGCTGGAGTGCAACGGTGCGATCTTGGCTCACCACAGCCTCCATCTCCCAGGTTCAAGTGATTCTCCTGCCTCAGCCTCCCAAGTAGCTGGGATTACAGGCATGCACTACCATTGCCTGGCTAATTTTGTGTTTTTAGTACAGATGGGGTTTCTCCATGTTGGTCGGGCTGGTCTTGAACTTCTGATCTCAGCCTCCCAAAGAGATGGGATTACAGGCATGAGCCACCGTGCCTGGAAAATAGGCCATCTTTTTAAACAAAAAGGCAATGATTCACAAAAGTCTATGAATAGAACATGTAACTAGTTGATATAAATCTAATAGGATTTGTTAAAAATCAGTCAAATCTAATACATCTGAAGTGTTCTTGTATAAAATACCACATGAAGAAAAGAAGACTTTATTAATGTCTATAAACAATGGGTTTGTTCATAGACAGTATGACAAGTTACCATTAAAAGTATTTCCGGAGACATAAGGAAATGCAACATTATTCTTCCTGAACACTTTGAGTTCAAGACTTTCCACTCAATAAAATAGGAAAGGATCTGAAACTGAGAAAATGTATTTTGAGTACAAACAGCTTGTGAAACGTAATACTTTTTTTTTCTTTTTTGCATCATCAGAGGGTTTTACTGAACTCATGACTAGCTTCCCCACTCAGTATGCAATTCAGATGTGAGCGTGGGGCCAGGCGCAGTGGCTCACGCCTGTGATCCCAACACTTTGGGAGGCTAAGGCAGGTAAATCACCTGAGGTCAGGAGTTCGAGACCAGTCTGGCCAACATGGTGAAACCCTATCACTACTAAAAATACAAAAATTAGCTGGGCGTGGTGGTGTATGCTTGTAATCCTAGGTACTCCGGAGGCTGACACAGGAGAATCGCTTGAACCTGGGAGGCAGAGGTTGCAGTGAGTCCAGATCTCGCCACTGCACTCCAGCCTGGGTGACAGAGCAAGACTCCATCTCAAAACAAAACAAAACAAAAAACAGATGTGAGAGGAGAAACGTGTCTCACAGGAGCCTGTACTGTCTTCAATCCTATGTGTGCAGGTATCTACCACAGGCAAACAGTTTTCTCCCCATTTTATAGCAATATTATCTTCCTACTAGCAAAAAGAGTTAAATAGCCCCTATAGACTGAAAGGACTAGAGTCACAGGACTAGAGTCACAGGATGAAGCTTTCCTCTTAATATTTTTTATTTTGATGTTTGAACTCTTTTTTTTTTTTTTTTTTTTCCTTGAGACAGAGTCTTGCTCTTTCACCCAGGCTGGAGTGCAGTGGCACAATCTTGGCTTACTGCAACCTCCACCTCCCGGATTCAAACAATTCTCCTACCTCAGCCTCCCGAGTAGCTGGGATTACAGGCGCTCACCACCACGCCCAGCTAATTTTTGTATTTTTAGTAGAGACGGAGTTTCACCATTTTGGCCAGGCTGGTCTCGAACTCCTGACCTCAGGTGATCCACCTGTTGGGCTCCCAAGTGCTGGGATTACAGGCGTGAGCCACCATGCATGGCCTGATGTTTGAACTCTTAAGGCAACATTCTAGAGAACGGTGTTTGGGACCTGCTGTGCCCAAGGGACCGATAAAGAAAAAAGCTCTATTATTTGTGATTTGATGCACAGATGAAAAACTTAACACACAATAACGGAAGTTGGTTGTTAGTAAGTCACATCCTAGTCTTTCAGCACTTCCA